CAACGCGGTCGAAGGCTTTGGAGATGTCCAGAGCACAGCGTGGCTTCCGAGGAAACCTCCCATGCCTGTCAAATATCACTACGAGAGAAATCTGGGTCAAATCAAGGGAAAAGAGAAGACCCGTTGAAGTCGTCTCCATAGACTTCAGCAAAGCCTTCGACAAAGTTCCTCACAAAAGACTACGCATGAAGTTGGCGAATCTTGGTTTCAAAGGCAGCTAACTGTACTTGATTACGTAATTCCTCACATATAGGAGGTAGAGGGTTAGCATCAACTGAAAACTCTCCTCCTGCCTAACGGAGTGCCACAAGTCATGGCACTCGGTTCACTTCCATTTATTTTGTATCTCAATGAGTTATCTCTGATCACAGATTCCCCTATGGTCATACATACAGATGACTTAAAAATCTGGAGAGAGCCGAAGGTCAACAGTGATACGCTCAGGTTGCAAGAGGACCTAAAAAATTATCGGAGTAGTCCAGAGAACGGATATTCCCGATCGATGCAGCAAAATGTGCATTGTAAAGGCAATCATCTGCGCCTACAAACTAGAAGGAAAGACCCTCCCATTAGTTCAGACTCATTTGGATTTAGGTGTCATAGTAAGTCACGACTTAAAAACTACAGCACACTATCGCACGTGGCTGAACGTAGTTTCAGATCCTTATGGGCGATTCGCAGAGCCTTTATAAGAATTACTAGCGAAATGTTCACCTCCTTACATGCATCTCTGGTGAGGTGAAGACCGGAAAACTGTATCCAGGCAGCCAGTCCTTGTCTTAAAGGGGACTCACATATTTTGGAAAGGGTCCAAAGGAAGGCAACACGTATGATTCTCGGTATGACTATTTTATCACACGAGGCAAGACTAGACAGTTTAAATCCCTTCTCCCTGTCATACTGTAGGCAGAGAGATTTAACTACAATGTTCAAAATTTTAAATAATGACTACAGACCTGACCTATTCTCTCTTTTCCTTCCAACTAGGTGGTCGGAACACCTTAGAGGATATAGCAGGAGAGTTCAAAAGCCAAGGAGAAACCATATTGCTATGGAGTACTGGTTCTCAAACCGAGTCACAAACTCCTAGAACCAACTCCCAGAAGAAGTGGTGTCTGCAACCTCAATTGATTTATTCTAGAAGGGTTTGAACAAGCACAGAAATTTACTAGAAGAGGATTAACATAGGCTCCAAGCCTTCTATCTTCAATCAAAATGTCTGCATCTAAATCTGAAATTCGGAAGATAGGCAAGGTATCGACATGCCTCAGACTAAAAATCAAGTTTTTCCAGAACGCCATACCTATCTCGCCATGGTCTGCTCAAGCTATGACAGGAGAGTGAAGGGGAACGAATTCCAAATGAATACACATGTCATAAGACTTCATCTTGGTGCCGTCAACGAAATCGAAGAAATTAATCTATTTCATACTAACTAGTATATAAGATATTGCACAAGTTGTATGCTTATTTTTGTAGGTTTTAGTATGCCTTCACTCTCTTGCAAGATATTAGGTTGCGTATATTAGAAGCTTATCTCCAAAATTAGGAATACTGAAAAAATGTACTACTATTTCACAGGAGGAAGACCTAGTAGCTACTCCCAAATAACCCCGCATTAGTACTAGGGAAGCTGCAGCGACTCACACCTGGGAAGTCCCCAGGTTGTGACGACATCAAGCCATCTGTTCTGAAACAGTGCGCCAAAGCTCTCTGCGACTTGTTCCAACACTCATTGGATTCAGGGAAACTGCCAAGGGAGTGGAAAAGGGCCATCCTTTCTCCGATTTTCAAGGGTGGGGATAGGCGAAATGCCACTAGTTATAGACCAGTAGCTCTACTCCCAGTGATATCAAGAGTACTGGAAAGTATTACTGACGATCACATCAGAGAATACCTCGATAGGTCTAATATACTCAATGAAACCCAACACGGTTTCAGAAAAGGCAGATCCTGTGTAACAAACCTACTATCAGCTTGGGACGATTGGACATCATGCTGGGATATGAATGTTCCAGTCCATGTGGTCTTCCTAGACTTTGAGAAGGCATTTGACACTGTTCACAATGACCTTTTCCTACACAAAATAGGTAGGTAAGCCACTTCTGTCATGGTTAAAGGACTACCTAGTTGAAAGGCAATTTTGCACTAAGGTCAGTCGAGTCCGATCATCTTGGCATAGCTCGTCATCAGGAGTGTCGCAGGGTTCTATCCTAAGGCCACTGATGTTTTTGATTTTTATCAATGATCTACCATGCCGTCTAAGCTGCCCGACTCTTCTATACGCTGATGATGTGAAGATATGGAGGGCGATAAAGTGTCCGGAGGACTCAGATAGACTAAACCTTCTGGAAGACTGGGCGGTGACCAGTGGCATGACTTTCAACCTGGAAAAGTGCAAAGTAGTGAAGTTACGCACCTGTAGACTGCACAATGCAAGTTACACCCTGTGCAATGAAAGCTTGTCCTGCACAACGTCGGAACGCGACTAAGGTATAGTTCTAACGGAAAAAATGGATACAAGCGTAAATAACACGGGGGACGTAGCGAGGGCATATGCGGTCATACACTTTACACATAGACAGTTAGGTGCACTTATTCCTGAGCTCTTTCTAAGGTTGTACAAAACATACGTCAGACCACACCTTGAAGTGCGTAATATTATTGCCCCCCACTGCTTAGAAGAGACGCCAACCTCTTGGAAAGAGTCCAACGACGGGCAATAAAAGGAGTGGTTGGTCTCCAAAACAAACCATATGATGAAAGGCTGAGGAAATTAGGCCTATATACACTTAGCTACCGTCGGCTTAGGGGGATTTAATTACTGCCTACAAAATAACAAATGACCAGAATCACCTAAACAAAGGTGTGCTGCCATTGAGTAGTTGTAGGCTCCCTCGCGGAAATTCCAGAAGGATAGCTCATCAGAGGACAAGGACCCGGGTGCGCTCCCACTTCTTTTCACTGCGGGTCTGTCGTCCCTGGAATTCCTTACCGGCAGATGTAGCTATGGCACCGTCTATGGAGGCCTATAAACGAAGGCTGGGAAACCATGCAGCGACTCAAGGACTGCGTCCAAATGGCCTATTCCCTTAAAATCTCATACACCATTCAGGGGTAGACAACTAAGTTCGTCATTTTACTTCTTTACATTCTCCTTTGTCTTACTCTCCTGACAACTCTAACTACACTTATTACTGTTATCATTATTGCCGATATATATATTATTCATATTATTCTTCAGGTTTAATCAGCTGACTGTTGTTACGTTTTCTTTATTTCTTTTTCTGTCTGTTAGTCTGAATACCTTCACTAATTATATCTATTATTATTATCTCTTTTCTATTGACGACGATACCGAAGGACTGACTGGTGAAAGGATCAACTCCATTCACAGTAGTAACAGTCTTAACACACCTCATATTACATACCACATATAATTAATCCCAGCACTACTCCTTTTGGAGTCAACCAAAGCTACGACAGTCAAGTGGCGGGACGAGCTACGCAGAAGTTTACCGAAGATCAGGATTTTATACCTCACAATCAAGAGGCGAGCACAAAGAAATCAGATTGGTTCATACTAGCTCGTATAAACGATATTGGATATTGGAACTTTAAAGTTATTGCCTCGCATTTTGTGATTTAGTGCTACAGTTAGGTATTCAAGGCCGTCTGTACCAGTCTACGTTGCACCTGTAGGTTGCCAATATGTAGCTCTGTTCATTAATTTCTCAGTTAGTAAAAGTCTTAAAACCGGGTGAAATATTTGTTCCAAATTTTTTGGCCGCTGAAAGTGTCTGATGCATGTGGACCCAAATAAAAATTTTTGAAACAATTTCAGGGTTTTTCGGGGAAGTTTTAGAGTAAAATTTGGAGGAGAAGAATGCAATTTCCCACGATGTTTGCGTTTAGCTTTCCTCCAAAACCTCGAAATTGTCCCTAAGTTTTTTATATGCGAAATCTCAAATTATATGCATACATATGCTCATACATGTGGTTAACTCTGTCCCTTGTATCATCCAACTTTCTTAAATCTAAAATCTGAAAATAATGTGAGAGCCACACAAAAGTAAGAAAAATGCGTAATACACATTATTTAACGCACATTACGTCGATCTAATTAATTTATTGTTGTATTCGACTTTGAAGCAACTGATCCTTAGCAAAGTCATTGTTAAGAATATATATTTGTGTATCATATCAAGCTTGTGTATCTGGTGCAATTGTGGCTTCTCACAGGATAACTCACATTCTCTTATTCATATGTCATATTTTAGCTGACGATTGGTTTCAAACCTGTTCTTCTCTAACAAGTATCTGTGTTTTCCAGGTCCTTGGTCATGCTTCCTCAGCGCTTGGTCACTGCTGGTGATATGGCTTCAATTCATTTATAGTGGGGTAGATGTATTTACTCTATCATCTTCCGGGCGGTGGAAATGTTCATTGGTCTTCATTTAATTGTTGTTTTTTCTTGCATATCATCAACTGTAGTTCCGTCAATATTTTTGTTTACCTAACGTTTACTTTCCCAAAGTTTGGGAGATTGGGATAATGCACTGCTGTACAAAGTTTTTTGTTGTTAGGTCAATCACGCAAACATGCTAGATGACATGTTTGCTAGAAGCATACCATAACCTGTTAGACAGTGCATTTAACTTTTCACAGGATTCAATGCTTTGTTTTTTGTCATTCAATTATGCTATGGTGTTTCGATGAAACCACTAAATCCTTGATAAGTGAGCGGAAGAGAAAACATAAAACGAACCCTTTCAATTCAGTTACATGGATGAAGAATAGTTATTGGATTTTCGTCATCTTCGTTAACATTTATGCAACAAAATAAATATCTTTTTATTATTCTTTCTTGCTTGTCTGATTTTCATTTTGTACTTCATACTTTCAGCTCCGTCATTTTAATTATTTCTCCATTACTGCGTCAGACATAGCTTTCCATCTCTCAGTTTTGCCTTCAGGGTTGCTGAAAGTTGTGCTAACGTATGGATGACGATGAGCTTACTCAAGAGATTCTTGACCAATTCGACCTCATATGTACCCAGCATCAGTATGAAAACGGTAGGCGAAAATTGCTTTTATAATCCATATACTTATAGTACCAAGTCATAGTAATGGAGGTTTATCGAAACCAAATCTACATCCTGAAAGTAAATTTACATACTTTGTTACTGATTATTTTGAACTGTAGAGTCGTCGAATGGTTTAACTCGGTCAACATCCTTAGATACAAAGCTAGGAGGTACTGTACAGGTGCCTCACTTTCCACTGAACGAGAAAGTATCGAATGCTAGCCGAGATGAAGTTGAAAGCCTTAAAAAGGAGGTAGGCTGTGGTTTTATATTAATGTCGTATGTAGTCCAGATGAGAGTCATCTGTCCAGATTTTTTCCTCGTAATGTCTGTGCCATTTTTTCTGTCTGATGGCCTTTATAACGTAAAGACTTCATGTGTATGTTCATCATTTTATAAGCAAAGGTTTTATTAACACATTAGAGTTTAGTAAGTTTTTGCGAAAGTTTAATTTTTCGAGAAGAGCTCTTCTGGTGTTTTAGCTTAGCCCGTAATTTGTAGTTAAGGTAGATTTAGCTTGGAAAATTTGAGTATTTCATAGGTAAGACGTGATAACTAGCGCTTCCCATCATAGCAAAGATGTTCTGACTTCTTTGCGTTAATTCATTTTGGGAAGCCGTGACCAGTAAGGTACAGCAGGTTGAAGGTGAGGCAGTAACTCATCGAAGAAGACATTGCGAAATGGTCGCGCTATGTCGTGAATTGGCAGAAGTTGGAATTCATGGACTGGCCATTGGGTCGGGTCCCAGTGGCTCAGTGGTCTACGAGCTCGCCTTGTAACCAGAAGGTCATGGGTTCGAACCCCTGCGGGTGCGTACTGTGAAGAGTTCCAAACTAGGACGAAACAGCTGTCCAGTACTCCCAGGTTTTCCAGTGGTTCTCTAACTGATGTCAGTTCATGATGAAATTCTCCATCCAATTCATTTTGCAGTAATTAGTACAATGGTAGAACGGGATCTACAGTAATACAATTACATTTGTTTGAAACCAGAGGATTCTCCGTTAAGATACTTTTTTGGATAAATAGGGCGTAAACATATTAGATTTTTGAAATTTGGAGCCTTTTAAACATTGTTCAGGATGTCAGCACTTTTCTGTGTGATATTACTTTACGAATGCCATCATAAAAAGATTTAAAATATTACTTATAATAAATCGTATTATTGTGATAGCTATTATTATACACAAATATATTGTGTGTTGACTGCGGAGGATAGAAAAAAATTAACTGCTGGTCAACATAAGCAAAAAAATAGTAACTCATTGATTATGATGCTACCGACGGGGATATTGGACTACATTTCTTAACGCCTACCACTACAAATCTTCATGAAAGGAAGCTTAATGGTCACACTTATTTGTCTTTATCTCACTGATTAAAATATCCAACACTTTATAAATGTTTTTAAAAACTCATTTGTGAACTTTGCCTTTCATTTTTTCTAGGTATCTGTCTTACGCGAAGAGTTGTATATGAAATTAGGTGAATTAGCTACCATTAAAGAGTCTGCCAGTCGAGCAAAAGCTACCGATTCTGATACTATTAGTAAACTGGAATCACATCTCGCTTCTGAACGTAATGATTTTCAACGTAAATTGAGTGAATTGAACGCCCAAATAGCGTTTCGTGAAGCTGATTATCGTTTGGTATGCAGTGAGCTTGCTCGGATTAAAGAGGAAGCCGCAGTCAATAAACAGCTGTTAAACGGTAAGTGGTGTAGTTTTTTGTGCTTATTAATGAACTGAGTTTTAATCGCACTTTTTATTTATTTTTTGGAAGTCATTTTTGCATAATACCTTGATAACTAGTTACAGTTTTAGTGAGATATATTTTAAAGATCTATTACTAATGATTTTGCCAGTGGTTAATTTTTATTAGTTAGGTCAGTTATACAGACAGTTTGTACTATTATTTGTAGTGTAGGCATCGGGAGTGTGTTCTTTGTCCCTGAGTATTTTCATACACGTGGTTCTCTTGATAAGTTTCAATAAAGCAAAATAAATTAAATTAGCAGTGTAAAACGGTATTTTACTTTACAGGTTCCCGTCATCTGCAGACTACCTGAAGTTATAATGGTCATAAAGTAATAGATGAAAGTAAAATACTCTAAATGGTGATATGATGGTCGAAAATGTACACATCACAGTTTCTAGCCCAAGGCATCATCAATTTATATGCATTGCAAAGTATAAAGCGTGGTGGACAAAAGACAGAAAAGCGGAAATCGCTTTTCATCAGTTTACATAAGAACTCAAAAATTATAATTCACAAAACTGAGATCAGCTCAGTGGGCTACAGTCACTTAGATGAATATTTTGCAGTTACACCACCTACAGATAAATTTAAATAGCCTTGAATAGTCTAGAAATGTGCCGTCATTTCCATACTTCTGAAGCGTTTACAAAAAAGCTGACATCACCAATTCGTGTTGTTGTAGTAACGAAACTCCTCTCATTGACGCTTTTAATAATTGTGCACCTAATGGAATGTGTTTATGTGATGGTTATAGCATATATTAAAGTCTGCATTATTTATCTCAAAGTATTACTGCTATTTATATCGGTTAGACCAGGAATACTGTGAAGTGGTTTCGTATACAAATTGGCAACACTGAGGAATTATTAATTTATATTATGGGAATTTCTATCAGTAATTTGTGTAAAAATGACCAGAAAAGGAAGTACTTGTTTGTAAACAGTTAGTTCATTTCGCACAAGTGTTGTGCATTAATATTTTAGCAACTTGAGAATCCCCATTGAGTCATATAAAAGAAAAGGCGTTCAGCGAAGAGTTGTTCCTTTCATCGACATCATTCTCCAGCTGTACAGTCGCATATATTTAGTAAATTTTCTTAGCAACAAAAAGGATATTTCCGAAGATGTGTCATTAGAATTGTAAACTTTAGATAACAAATTACATAATGTGGAAATCGTTAATCGGGTAGAAACTAAAATAAAATTAATTAAATTGAGTGATTTAACATGATTGACGGGATTCAGTGAAATTCAACTAAAATCGAACGAGACTCAAGTTAACAACAGTGGTAATAAGGGGTAGAAATTTAGTTAGGGGTGGGGGAAGAAGATATTTTAGTGAAATCGTAGAAAATCGTAATATTCGGTTAATCATAGTAGTCACTTGCAGTGTTACAACGTACACTGAAGTTGTAGTTGCATATTTTATTTTATTTCTTTACGTTCTGAGTGGAGGATAGGGTCTTACAGTTTTAATAGCAGTGGTGTTTATTTTTACGGAGTGGGGTTGCTAGCCTCATGCCCAACCTTCCCTCTTTACCGGTCTTATTGCCGGCCTAGCGACTGGGGATCGAACCCGGAACCATATGCGTGATTGGTAAGCATTTTACTGCTGTACCACAGACGCACATATCAACTTAGTGTCATACGAATTAATATAAGAGAAATAAAAATTCACAGTAAGGACTTATTATCTGTATATAAATATGACGTTCAAAATCCAGAAAATAGAGCGTGAGAGAATTTGCACAATAATAATGATCTGATGTAGGTTAATACAACTGCGAATTTTCAATCACATTTCTGGGAATTTAATTAAGTGATTTTAGGTTATTTTTTCGTATAATACAGATTGACAGTGGTGGTTTGTATTGGACAATTTCTCTAAATTTTCAGTCGCATTTTGTTTGAGTAATTTACAATGAGAGATATATTAATTTTTTGAATATTTCATTGTTTGTCTTCTTACTGGTCTTTCTCTCTCTTCTGTCGATGTTTTTTGAAGTACACAGTTATTGATAATAATAATTAAAATATTGGTAACAAAAATAAAAGGTGTAATTTGGGCTCTTCCCATCTGTATCAAATTCCACTGGTTAATCACTGGAAATCGTACAACTCATTCAACGCTAACAATGTCCTACTCACCTGCTCACTCACACAGCCAGTCACTTTTAGATTAGGATCGATATAGGTCACTCTTACGTCATCATTCAACGTCATTCAATTAACTAAAAGTGTCAAAATATTTCTTATGCATTAAAATTACATATGTTTAATCCAAATCGATCAGAGAATTTTCGAGAAGTTTGGAGTATACACTGGGCAGTTTGATCAGTTTACCTATGATAACGTTTGGTTGCTCAGGAAGAGTGAATGTCCTTGACAGAGGTTGTGTTTTGTCAGTGTCAAGGTTGAGTAGTGCAGATACTTAACCATCGTGTAATGGACCCTCACTTATCTATCAATTTAAGCATGCATCTCTCATGCTGGGATATATATTAACCTATGTTTACATCACTGCTCATGTCTGTCAAATGAATTCGAGTGGAAAACCGGTAATTTTTGTTCTGATTTCAAAGACATCTTTTCCATAAAAGACAATTGGCATTACAGGTATTCTAACTGATAGACTTGAGTATGTCCCTTATTTCTGGGTTATTGTTAAGTGTGCGTTCTATAGTCCAATAAGGAGTAAGCGTTTTGGTCAACTTCGCTTCAGTCAGGCTTAGAATCTAGGTAGTTTTCCCCTAATTCAATGCTCTTCAGTCATACTGATCTGCTTACTGGTCAGTGTGCTGGTCCAAAAACCCTCAGAATGCATAAATCTCAATGTACAACTTCAAATCCAGATACAAATGTATTTAGTATAAGCGTTAAATCCTAATTTTACGATTGGGATACTCGAGCCACTTCACTTTATGTCGGTGGTTGTTAGTTTGTTAGTTAGATTACGCATCATTGTTTTTACGTTTTTCTTATTATCAAGCAGTAAATGTTGTGTGACATATTTCCACTTGTTTTTTATGTCCTGTGAAGCCGCACTTTTTTTTCCTTCACGTTCTCCAGTGGAACATAGGGCTTCAAGCTAGTGGCTTGAAGTTTCTGTAGCAGTGTTTATTTTACAGGATGGGGTTGCTAGCCTCATGCTCAACCTTTCCTCTTCACCAGGATTATTTCTGGCTTAGCAAGGTAAAGGAGTGCGTCGGCCGGGAATCGAACCCCGGATCATGTGCATGGTCGGCGAGCGTTCTAACCGCTATACCACCGACGCACTGTGAAGCCACATAGTCTAATGATATAGCCATTGTGTTACCAACTATTAAACTGTAAGTAGTAAGGCATAGCTGTTAGTCACATATTTGATACTGACAATTTAATATACAGTACACGCTCTGTGTTTCTCTGATTCTTTGTACTGTAACGTCTACTTCACTGTTGGTCAGATTATTAAAGTAGATGAAAGCAAGGTTCATTTTGAGTTGCACATCCTATACTTTTTATGATACCAGCCAAAATATACACTTTAACGAAGGAATAAAGAACAGTTGTTTTAAAAACTACAAAATGCTGCCTAAAAAACACGGTATAAAAAGAATTTCTGTACTCATTATGTCTGACTGACTGAGTTTCAACGTAGAACTTTGCACAGAAGTGCACCAGTCCAAGTTGCCACACTATGTAGCACACAAAAATAGGTTAGAGATAACAAAGTAGATTCAAAAGAACTATAGTAAGCGAAAGTGTGAGAGAAGAAGAACAGAAACATAGAAAAACATGACAGATCTGGGAGATTACATAGAGTGAATGCATCTGCGCCATTGAGAACGAATTTTGGAGCTATATCACCAGTAGTCTCCAGCCAATGGTTCCTAGTATCACACGACCCTAACCTGGCAGCCTACACCTCGTTATGAGGTAGGCCGAAATCAACTGTCAAAGGCTTCATAGGCTGATGCCAGGTTTTGGTTCGACTACCTCAAATGGTTTTCCAACTTTATTCTATGTTGGCTAACATTCATTGATACATTCGTATATTGAGCAATGTTCAAACTGAATGTAAGGTTTTATAATGCATCAGGTATCTAAATATCTGCTGTCTTCGGAATTTATTTGAGTACTAATTAATAAATACTCATTAATAAATAATACTAATTAATAAAATACTTTGTCAATCTGTTCACTTTGTAAAGCACCAGTTAGGAATATAGTATATGCCTGAAGAAGTTAATAAGGCTTATATATAATCAAGTTTTGCCTTTTCCATTTTACTGATAAGCACAAGAAGCTTGCTTTAGCTTTTTATTTTCATTTCTACTGCTATTTTTTGTTACAGTACTATCTGATGCTTTAGAGATTTATTGTACTTTTATTCATATCCATTTCAGAACGTTCTGTTGAATATTCACCTGCATCACAAATTCTAGTCTCCCTAACATCTCCTAATCCTGATCCCATTTCTAAGCAAAAGGCACGAACACCTGGTTCTCGGTTACCATCTACAGATTTTCATCTTCCTGCACCAGTTACTCCTATTCCCAGCAGACGACATAGAGTTCCGCATGGTTTAGTTTGGGATGTTAATGTTCCAAGCAACTCTGAAGATCCACTTAAGTCGACTACTGTTCAACAAAGTGATATCAATGAAGTTTTACCAGTAAATGAGGCTCCATTGTCCAGTGCACCAAGAAAACGACAACGGTATGTTATGTCACCGGATATTCAATCACCACAGACCTCTCCTGAACGATTAGAAGAGCACCAACATCCTACATCTGTAGTTGATGCCTGCGTCGAGACCACAGATTTGTCAAATAGTCCTACTTGTAATCGTCCCTTACGCTATCGGATTATTTCGCCTGCCTTTTCGATTACTCAGTCTTCCCATTTATTTACCAATAAGAAATCCGACTTATTGTCAGACTTGTTAAGCCTGTCGATCTCAGTGCCCCACGAAGAAAAGGACGGGTAAGATAATGTCTGTGTAAATATATTATTTTATTATTATAAGTGACTTATTAAAAGTCAGCCGCCAAGAGGTGTGAATTTTTGAGATACTGAAGGTGTTAGCATCTTCATAGTTTTCAGTATTTTCTGGTTTACAAGTTGTGTTTTTCACAAAAATATTTTACATGTGATTTGTTGTGTCAATGAAGAACTGCATTTTAGAAGATCCTTAAGTAATGATTCGAAGTAGTAGGGATGTCTCTGTTAATGTTTCAGAATTAAAGAAAGTAAAAGCGCTTGTAGTTGCGACTGACTGGCTGACTGCGTCGATTAGATTAGCAGCTGATTTCTCTCTCTACATGCTGGTAGTGCTTAACGTTTGTCTTTTGTCTGTGTCTCTGTACTTATGGCTGGTGTAATCCATTAATGATTTGAATGTTTCTGAAAATGTTAACATTCCTGGTGGTTTTTGTATAGCAGAATGTTTGATAATGTAGAGAATGATTTTCAACTCTAAAAGGTTTTTAAAATGATTAACCCTTTATTCCTTCGTAGTAGTAGTGGTAGTAGTAGTAGTAGTGTGGTGAGAGCTGTCTGCTAGCCAAAATTGGTAGACAGCAATTTACGTCAATGTTTACGTTCCAAATCTTGGTCTTGTGCGGGTTCTCGTGAAGTCATTGTCTTGAATCATGTCTGGTGGTGGTAAAGGTGGTAAGGGATTGGGCAAAGGAAGAGGCAAAAGACATCGCAAGGTTCACCGTGACAACATCCAAGGCATCACCAAGCCAGCGATCCGTCGTCTCGCTCGTGGTGGTGGTGTGAAGCGTATCTCCGGTTTGATGTGTTACCTGGCCCTTGTCTTCTATCGTTACAGTAGCAATTATGACGATGTATTTTTGTCTGATAGTATGTGACATTGTTGCTAGGCTATTCTGATATATATATATATATATATATATATATATATATATATATATATAATATTTTTCGGACACATTTGTCTCAGTTGTACATGGATAGATCTAGCATGATTCAGGAAACCATTAACCTCTTATTTTTCAATGGAGATTCTTTCATTTCAAGTATTGGTTTGTAGGGATTTTGATTGATTGGTTACAGGATTTCATCATGAGCTGACATTGGTTAGAGAACCATTGGAAAACCAGTAGGGTGCAGCAGGTCAGGTGTGAAGACAAATACTCGCCGAAGATATTGGCTAGCGGTCGCGCTATGTCGTGAATTGGCAGAAGTTGGAATTCATTGACTGGCCATTGGATCGATCCCAGTGGCTCAGTGGTCTACGAGCTCGCCTTGTAACCAGAAGGTCCTGGGTTCAAACCCCAATGGGATGGGTGTGTACTGATGAAGAGTCCCAAACTAGGCTGACGAAACAGCTGCCCAGTAGTCCCTGCAGGTTTTCCAATGGTTCTCTAACTGATGTCAGCTCATGATGAAATCCTGTAACCGATTCTTGCATTTATTGAAAAAGCTCATCCTTATGGTGTATACCTAAATGAATATAGAAGTGTTAGTAAAAGGCTTTTCCTAGTTGTATAACAACTGGTTTCATGCGTGATTATCACTGACTGAGAGTATTGTAGCCGCTATTCGAACTATAAAGATAAAAGTGTAACTTATCATTGACTTATTGTCAAACGCTTTGTCAACTAATAACTTCACTATTTAATTGAATGGCAGATTTTCCCGTCGATTTATTGGAACAAAGTGCTCGGTCTCAGGTTGACATATCAGCTTCTTGTGCAGATGCACAAGAGGTTGCTCTCGTGGCTCAGGTGGTCTAGTGGATAACGCTTTGGCGTTTAAAACTATGGGCACTGGGTTCAAGCCTCGGCGGGAAAATCATCACTCACTGGGGAATGCAGGTACATCCGCCAGATGACGAGTCCCAAATAGGACGAAATGGCCATTCTGGATTCCACTGCTAGTCACCATCCACCAATTAGCCTCTAATAACTTCACTAGTTGATCGTTTTGTAATATCTTTTCATCATATCGACTAACATGCTTAATTCCTTTTTAGAAATTCCAGTGATACAGATTCTCAAACACCAGTGATGATTCCTACATGTTTTACCAAATCAGAGGATTCTGCTTGGTTAACATCAGATTATTATTTAACAGGAATAAATAAACTACTTCCAAATTATTCTGATATCCTTAGTGAAACAACGTCTTCTGACAACGGTACATCACATTTGAATATGATAATTAAACGATTTTCCACCTCTTTACCATATTTATTACTTAGAGTTGAAGAGCAATTTAAGGTGAGTTTTCATTGATACTAACATTTTTTCCAACTGTTTTTCTTATCAGGTAATATGTAATTTTCCATTGACAGTTATGAGTTGATATACTAACATCCTACTTTTTTCTGTACCCCAGTGTTAAGTTTATAATCTAATCTCTAACTGATTATTATTATTATTCTCCTGGGTTCAGCGTGGAACATAAGGGCTTCTGCAGCACATTTCCATTGTTCTAAGCTCTCATCTCCTTCTCAAACAATCCCCTCCATGTCACCCTCGGACGCACGCCTGTGTCGTCGTCTCTCCATCAGGTTCCAATTGGGAGGGCCTGGCAAGCACTGTCGATCAACACATATCCGAGTACACGATAAAGGTGACACCTTTGATCCTAATTAATATGACTACATAGTTGTTACATCAGAACTTCTCTAAGACAGTTTGTAAAGGTGAAGTATAGAGTGATAACGAAACTATAAATTAGGTTCACTTTATTCAACATATGTTTATTTCACCATATCTGTATCCGTCTCGGCTGGTACATCACTTTTTTCACTGAACAAATAGTTCAGCGTGTTCGGTAATTCGAACAGAAATTGCAAAGTGTAGCCTATATTCACTAGGTATTTCTTTCGTTTTCCTATTCTGCTAGAGTAGTGAAATTAGTCTCAATATAGGGTAAGATAGAATGAGCATACGATTGTAACGACAGAAGACCAGGGCCAGGCAACAGATCGTTTACTGAGAAAATCAACAGATATTTATAGATTTTTATGTACATCATTATTATCGTTATTGTTAGCAGAGAAGCAACGTCTTCTGATTGGTTGTTTCCTTGCTGAAGATTATTCTGTACTGCTTGTGACCGTTTCTTAGAAAGTTGAGCCATATATCTGCGAATCGTATATGCACACGTTTAGTCTTCTGTGATTGGTTGTTGAGTTCCTCAAGATTAAGCTTTGTTATTGTTTTTTCTCATGACCCTGATTCGGGAAGTAAACAGTGACGTAAACTGCTGTTTACAATTAATGGCTTTCAGCTAGCTCCAACCACAGGATTATTTAGTATAATTTTCTATAGTTTGGTTTGTAAAGGTTTGTTATGTTTTACGAGTTGATCACGGATTGATATCAGTTAGAGGATCATTGAAAACCAGGGAGTACTGGACAGCTGCTGTTTCATCCTAGTTTGGGAATCATCGGCAGTACGCACCCACTGGGATTCGAACCCAGGACCTTCCGGTTACAAGGTGAGAAGTTGTGACCAGTGAGGTCCAATTAGATGTCACGTGTGTGGATGGATGTCCCACCAACGACAATGGTTGGGGTCACGCTAAATCACGAATTGGTAGAAGTTAGAATTCATGAGCCATTGAATCGGGTCCCAGTGGCTGAATGGTATACGAGCTTGCCTTATTTAGTATAATAGTGTGTTAAAAAAATCAAATCAAGAATTTCATGAAAATTTCGTTGTGCCAGGTGCTTTTAAAGAAGCTACGGTATATACAATACGATTTTTATAGGAAGACCAGTTTGTGTCAATCTGTATTAAACTTCAAAATAAGAAAATATTATTCAGCAACCATTTGCGTCTTGCTTGCATTTGGCGACTAACTGTTCTGATTGTTCTTACTCAGTAGTAGTTGGTTGTTGAAATCATTTTAGGCAAAGTGAGGGTTTGAATCCGTGACTGAGGGAATGAAAGTAGAGCACCTAAACCTATAAAACACATCTCTATGGCGAAAATATTCATTCAGACATCTATAAAATGCAAAATAACTGAGCAAAGAATATCCTTTTCGATAATTCCCTCTTCTTGCTCTACAATTATATGTATGCTTATACACAGAATATTCTGGAATAGTGGTCAATTACAATATTAGCGTTTTCTAAATAATATCGACTTGTAAAGTAAGATCAGTGGAATTACAATTAATTAAAAATGCATAAATTAGAATAATAAAAATAATAATAATAATAAAGATATAATAGCAAATAGAATATCAACTAAAATTAGGAAAATTCCACAGAAATTCAGGATCATTCGAACCTAGATGACCAAGGTAGAGACAATGTCTGTGCCCAAGTTTCATACTTATATCAATGTCTGAACAGCTTCTTTTAGACACATAAATTAGGTTTTTTAATGTGGATCCCAACGGCTTCAGCAATATTTAGTAAACGAACTCTTAAGGCGAAGTTAAGGTTTGTTGGTATGCGGTAAATGACTTTGAAAGCCTCGTTGACATCAATCTTGTGTTCTGTATCCACAAGATGAGATAGAATAGCGCCACGAATAGATTTTGTTTTTCCTTTACTTAACCACGCAGGATGGTGTTCGGAAATCGGACGAGGAACACTCCTGATTGTACTATATGGCCTATGCAACTGGCTTCACAGGAGCAGTTAAATTGGTAGATACAAATGGAAGAGTTGAAATTAGGCAGTTTATCTTTTACTACCGAACGCGAAATAGGGGAATGGTTTTGAAGACACACCGTAATTCGGCAGCAGGGAATTTTCTTCTTACTGCATTCATTTGGCGTTGTGTTCGTACCTTGCTGATGTTATCCCCGAGAAACTGCATCTGTAAGAATAAGGCTTTTTTAGGAACTGTTGGTATCTTGGGTTGCCTTGATTTTCGATTCATATTCTTATCAATGAATTTTTCTGGGTAACCGTTTTCACTCAGCAACTGTTTAATACTACTAAGTTCCTCATTAAGACATTCGTCCGAGCAGATTGCTCTTGCTCTGTGAACTAAGCACTTTATCAGATTGCGTCTGTATTTCAAAGGCACGAAGCTGAAAAAAATGAGTATACTGACCAGTTGATGTAGGTTTTCTATATACACTTCTTCTTGTTGTGCCATCATTTTTTCTGGTCATAAGGGCGTCTAGAAATGAAATACTAAAGTCTTTATTTCTCAGTGGTAAAAATTATTCCTGGATGAACATCGTTAAATTTGTCCAGAATGTTCTTTGCTTCATCCTCATTTTTCATAATCAAAAATGTATCATCCATGTGTCGACAGTAGAATTCAAGTTCATCAGTTATATGTTTCAAAGGACCATTCTCTAGTTTCGCAAGGAAAATGTCGGCTAGAATGGGTCCTAGTAGAGATATCATTGCCACATCATCGATTTGTGTGTATAGTTCCTTATTAAATAAAAGTGAACATTTATTGTGCATTTTAAGAGAAGCTCCTTTATAAAAGGTATGGGAATGCTGACATCAATGTTTCGTCTTATGAGTTTTTCGCATACAAAGTTTACTGTTTCCATAAGTGGTACATTGGTGAATAAGGAAGATACGTAAAGTGATATCATGAATTTACTGTCAACATTTAAATCTTTTATCTTTTCAACAAATCTGAAAGTATCCTTTACACTGTTTCACCAACTCGGTATGTAGAGGTTGTAAGAGTTTGACTAACCATTTGGCTACGGGATGGTATGGTGAATTTAATATATCTAATACTGATCGAAGTGGTAAACCATTTTTGTGCACTTTTGGAGAATCATATAATCTTAATGTTAACGTTCCAGCGGGTTTCAGTGAACTGTACTGACTTTGTGAGGTAAAGCCTTGTTGTTTCAGTCTTCTCAATGCTGCCGCTAACTGTTTCTCTATCTTTCCAATCGGATACAGAGAAGAAGAGATTTTTTAGAATTTTAGATTAGCATTAAGAACAGTGTTCATCTTCTCTAAGTAATCCGCTTTGTTCATGATGACCACTCCTGAACCCTTATCCGGTCTTGTTATTACTATTTATCACTTTTACAGAGAATTTCTAGAGCTTCTCTATGTTTTTCGGTTAAAATACTATCTGAGTTGCGTTTACTATTCATATAACAATAGCAACAATATGGTTAGTATGTCTGTAAAACATGGATACTAGTAAGATGTAATTCCCTATTAACTTATTTATTAGATATATCATACTGGACAATTTAATATGGAATTTACAGCTCCATGGTGTTGAACTTGTATTATGTAGAGTGATCTTATGAACTGTATACTGCGAACTATTATCTATGCGAAGGGAAATAACTGATGCAACTTAGGGTGTTTTTCGAGCTTAGATATCAAGCATACATATTAAATGATAGCCGGGCATGCCATTCAACTTCCCTCACCTCATTAAGTAAAGACGAAGTTTTAACAGATAGCCTTATAATGGAAGATTGATTATAGAAATCAGAAATTTACTCATATATACTTTTTACGAGTTGATCACGGATTGATATCAGTTAGAGAACCATTGAAAACCAACCACAGGGAGTACTGGACAGCTGTTTCATCCTAGTTTGGGAATCATCAGCAGTATGCAGTCACTGGGGTTCGAACCCAGGACCTTCCGGTTATAAGGGAAGCTCGTATACCATTCAGCCACTGGGACCCGATATCTTTCGTGATAATTGATGTCATTGATAATTCTCTTCACTATGTAAAAAGCTGAAATTGACTTAGAATGTTTCTTATTATTGCATTTATTATTAGGCATGTATTAGCACACTTTTGGACTGTGGTAATCAATCAAAAAGGATTTCAGGAAAGAAAAATTCGAATACTCAGGATACGGACGATAGAGAACTACTGGACGATAACGAAGAAGAAGATAAAGAGAATGAACAGTTAGATGTAGAGATTTCTGACATTGATCCCAATGAAATGTCCTATCTGGGTGAAGATCCTTTTGCGGGTGCACCAGCATCACAAGTTGTTACATCACTTACTTTTCCATCTCAACCTAAACGTGAGTTTTATCCATAGGAGATTTTTTTATAGAGTCAGTAGTTAATTTTAATTGACAAATTGATTTTCGAATGCTTTAGTGAACTGTTGGTTCCATTAAATGGCGCGTCACGTATAGTTATGGATCCAGAAATGTTGTTTTATATATTAACTATTGTGTAGTATCAGTAAAATGAACTTAATATGCTACTTTAATTCTGATTGTTCTAATTTTCTATGTAACTCTGTCAATTGTGTATTGTTAAAAGTAAACGAAAGAGACAGGAACGAACTATCAACATAAGAGCTTATTAACTGAACGAATTTTCAGCCTCGAACGCTTTGCAAAAGTGCAGCAGTTCCATTTGCCCCCCTCACACCCCTCTCGAAAAGAACAACAATAACAATGAACGAAGATGTGTAGAAGGAGAAATAATCACATGGGCAAAAACAAAGATTTATTGAATCTAGGTGATCACAGGGTGTGTCATTGGATCAGCATGAGACTAGGAATTGAATTCTGATGGATCCTATCTCTCACTACCCAAATCGACACAATAGGATAAAAACAAACAGGTAATATCAAGTATTGTAGACTCTTACTAGATAGTGGTAAAACCACGGATAAATGCTTCCATAGCTTTACTATATCAGCTTCAACTGCGTATAGCGGATTACAACTAGAGAACCTATAGCCCGTATATAATGCGTAATCTTTACTTGGCGTACATAGTGGTTGCATCACACGTATGCCACCTGTCGTGGAAGTGTAGATTGTACTTTGATTAGACACTAGGTAGTAACTAGTGTTATGCGGTCGGTCGGTCGGTTTTCGACATAGAACTTTGCACATATATGTGGCAGTTCAAGTCGCGTCTAGTCCTTCGACGTTTCAGTGCACACTGAATTCTACCAGTCAAGTTTACAATGTGACCAACCATGCTAGGTGGTGGCTAGCCACCATGGTGCACTCTGAAATGTTGTTATTCGATCGTTGGAGGCGATCGGCCCTTATTGCAAACTTTACGGACAGAAAATTCAGTCTGTACCTAGTATCCAATCAAAGTATCCATTATAGCCCCGTAGGGGGTCAATCACGAGGATGAATAACTCAGTGGTAACGTCTGTGGTTGCACCATTGGGTGAAACCGGTTCAAATCTCAAGGGACATGGGTCCCTTCAAGATTAGCGGATATACCTAGGTCGATGATTTCCTTCCAGTTGCCCTACAGCCATCTAACAAGTGTAGATTGTGAAAGGGATATCGTTGAGAGAATGTTTCATCCAAACACTTCGTGTTTTCCTGTATATTTTACTGTAAATGTAATCGAATATTGGATTCATACTTTTTCTGGGAATATAGAATCTTGCGTTTTTGAGAGCTATTGGAACACATAGCTAATAAATTATGCCTTGAATACTTTATGTTATTTATAAGAGGCGGTGTATATCACCTGTGGATGAATGAATGGAAAGATGAATAAACGGCCTCCTTCGAGATATTATTCCTGTACAAATTGGGCAAAGGCCGTACTTTCAGACCCTCTGCACCCTCTTTATTCACAACTATCCCCTTGTATCTCATCAGGTAGAACGAGAAGTCAATATAAGAAATTATATGCTCGTACCACTAAGTACAAAAATTCTACAATACTGTATTTAGCCCGTATTTTATGTGATGAAGACTCTGTTAGACGTGAAACATATAAGTTACTATGTAATCAGCATAGTGAATCGACCCTTTCATTGTTCATCTTTCTGTAATTCTATGGTGCCACCCTTTCTATCGTTTAATTATAACTTTGCTATTTTTATTTCAGTTGTTATTACTATTATTACTATAATTTTATACTTTATGCGTATTTTTCTCCTTATCGTATACTGTAATTGCTACATAGCTGCTATAAAAACGTTTTGTTATCATTATTATGTATTAATTATTTCGTTTATTTATTTTTTGTTGTTGTCGTTTTTGAGTAAATTAGATGCAATATTGTACTGAATGCTGAAAATTCCTTGCTGTATCATTAATACTGTTTTTGGAATAAAGCAAAAATTATTATTATTATTATTATTATTATTATTATTATTATTATTATTATTATACAATTAGCTTCCTTTTAAGTAGTAGCAGTAGCAGTTACTTCCGGCAAATCGTCTTTTCGCATTGTCTAATTTCTATGCTTTCTTTCTTTCTTTTTGTCGTGTAGCTTTTTCAAAGCAAGTTAAAGAGCGCTCTATCTCAATGCAAAGAAATAAATCGTGTCCTTCAAATATTGAATATTCTGAATCGTCCAGTAGTAGTACAGTAGTGACTGATGTTCCCAAAACCAATAATACTGACAACTTTTTGCTATATCGTCAAATGATGATTGATCAAAGTGTAAGAGGGATTAATCAACTAAGATATTTAGTTACAACTCTTGTTTCATATTGTCCTTTACCATCGAAATTAGTCCATTATATGGATGATAACTTATCACCTGGTGATGAGGATGGTGATGACAGTACTCTTGTTATTATTAATGAATTTCAATGCCTTATTCGAATGATTTCTAGCGTTTTATGTCGATTCATCAATAAGCTTGTGGATGTTTTTATGTAAGTTATAGTTCAGTATTAGTTGGGTTTTTTTTCTTACTTATGATCATAGACTTATCATCGTCATTTTAATCGTTATATGTCACATTTCTGTAACTGTTTTGTACTCTTTTTTTGTAATGATTTCGAGGGGTTATTTTCGTTTATACTTATCCTTTTATGAAGCTCCCTTTCGTGTACACTTAGGTGAAGTATAGTGAGTTGGACTGTTACTCCAGTTTTTTTTGATTGTAGCTTGATTCCACACCGTATTTCTGGTACAAGTATGGAATTTTCAGCATGTGATATCGGTAGCCCAAATTTTGCAGGCCGACCATTGATATCAGGTGTGCGCCGGCAGGGGATCGAACCCCGGACCATGTCCATGGTCGGCGAGCATCCTAAACACTGTGCCACCGACGCACACACTATCTATCTATCTATATCTAATCTTGGATCATTTATTTTCGGATAATCTACAACGGCCTCGTATCATTAGTTCCACTAGTTTAAACTATTATTATTATTATCAAAGGCAAAATTGGTGCATTGTTGGTACCAAGAGATGCTACACACATAGTCTCTCATGAAAGTGTTATCTCATGGAGTGTACGAGGGCTGAGACACTGTCTGGACGCTCAGACTGAAGCAAGTGGTGGTTGTCTTAAGAGCCCACACCCCGAGCCATCGATTTAAAGTCTGATCTACAAGGCAGTGAAGCAGGTTCGGATCCGTTCGGATTGTGGAGCCCATGTACACCGTAAGTTTGGAATCAGGGTTTTCCAGCTCCCCTAGGTGTAGGTAGACCTGCTTGTTCACCATTCTGGTGGTTGTAGGGGCGCCAGACGTGTCCGTATTCAGCTTTTCACTTTCCTAAGGAACACCCCGACCGTGGCGTGAAAGCAGTGAGTAGGACTTACGTGGCAGCAAAGGCTGTGAATGCGTGGCCATATGGATAGGATTTCGGAAGGAAAACCACCCTTGGCCGTACCAATTCGTTCACGTAGGTTTCAATTGCTTTATGGATAATCTCAATGTTCTCTAGGCTCTTTGCTTTCAAGTCTGGTTAAAACTTTAAAATTGCTTTCAATACTTTAAAGACTGACCACTTCATTTAATCATATATTTCTTCTAAGCAAAATTTTAGATATCGCTGTGTGCAATTCTATTATTTGTATGATTGGTGGCTTAGGGGAATCAATGATGCTGAGATTGTGACTTATCATTCGTGAGTAATTCACCTTATTTTCTTGAGCAGAATAAATATGTCTTTCAACATGGATGAGCGAATCAATCAATTTTCTAGGCTGGGTTTTATTTTATACTTCAATCTCCTGTCAGTACTGTAACGGTCAACTTAAACTAGTACATTTCAACGAACTAAAAGGAACATGATTGATTTCGTCCAATCAATGGTTTGTAAATCGTAAAAATTCACATGTTAATTCTGGTCTCACTTATTTTTCTTTTTTTATTATGTGTATATGTCATCAAGTCAGAATGAACAAGAAAATCATCTGTTGACGTCATCAACAACAACATGCTTGTAATACAACATCATCAGTACAAAATGAGTTCATTTATGATAACAGTACACCGGTTACATGTTCAATCGACTCTACATCACATAAATCATCTCAGAATACTTCGAAACACAATGCTTTCCCATCGTTGTCAGTAATTTTACCTCTTATAACTGGATGTTTAAATTTAGCAGCATTATTTGCAGTTTTCATTAGAATTGACATTCATGCACAGCGTAATCCTGTCGATAAAGTCTGTGGAATAGGAGATCAGGGCAATTCGTGAGTAAAATTTCAGTAAATTTTGTAAAAATATATATTTATTTTATATAGTTGGTTTGTAAGGATTAGTTTTGTTTTTACGAGTTGATCACGGATTGATATCAGTTAGAGAACCATTGAAAACCAACCACAGGGAGTACTAGACGGCTGTTTCGTCAGCCTATTTTGGGAATCATCGGCAGTACGCACCCACTGGGGTTCGAACCCAGGACCTTCCGGTTAAAATTCATGGGTGGGCCATTGAATCGGGTCCCAGTGGCTGAATGGTATACGAGCGTGCTTTGTAATCGGAAGGTCCTGGATTCGAACTCTGATGGTGGGTGCGTACTGCCGATGATTCCCAAACTAGGATGAAACAGCTGTCCAGTACTCCCTATGGCTGGTTTTCAATGGTTCTCTAACTGATATCAATCCGTGATCAACTCGTAAAAATATTCATTTTAACTTTATATTTTGTAATATCCACTTACTAGTTGGTTTATTTCTGCATTGTAAATGCATATTAGTTTGTTAGGAAGCTGTAAAGCAACGTTCATATAAACGTTTGTTCGTTTAAACTGTTATGCGTAATTACAGATAATATTATTACATTAAATACCTTAACTAAAGTCTTTAGATTGCACTTCACTAACTGTTGAAAGCTCAGAAACGCAAAAAGCAATCGTACGAATTAAGTCTTTATTCATCATGCTGCGTGTGAAACAGTTCTAGTTAGTTTTAAGTTGTGATTGTGGACTTCATGGAATGACTCCGGAGGTGTTTAGCGACGGTGGTAAGGTATTAGGTAATGTCTGGGAATCAGAGATAGTTCTGTAAGATTAGTGTAAATCATTGATTATCTCAATTTATAATAATCAAAGGGAGATTACCTTGACTAGTACTGTATCTAAAGTTCTAGGTTGAGTAATCATATGCATAGACTAAGGGGTACTTGAGAAAAATAAGCCAGGAAATAACAAGAAGGCTTTAAACCAGGAAGAGGGTGTATTTATCATATCTTCACCCTTCGACAGATTCTGAAACATAGGCATACTTACTGGCGTCCAACATTTGCCGTATTTCTTGACTTAAAGGTGGCATTCTACTCTGTCGACCAGGAGGTGCTGTGGAAATGTTTGAAGGTGAAGAGAGAGTACCGAGGAAGTATATTGCACTAATCAAGAAAATCTACTCAAACTCACATAGCTTACAGAGAGTTACCATCTGAAGTAATAACAACCACTGCTGTCCACCACGAATGATCAGTGTTCTCATTTTTGTTTAATCTCATCACATATGTACCTTAGTGGCTTATGGATTGAATTGTTATCAGGGAACGATCTCGGTGACCTAGAGTATGTGGATGATGTAGCTCTACTAGGTAAAGACGTCAACAAATAGCAGAGTTTTCTGAACACCGTGAGCAGCAGTCTTCTAGTGTTGTTTGGTATGCCATTTTCCCCTATCAAATGTAAGATGCTGCAGGACTGGACTACATCGACTCCTAGCTTGAAGAGTGGTGGGGAGTGTTGACCACTTCACTAACTTGACTGATTACTGACGAAATCTCAACACGAATACAAAAGGCTCGTTTGACATTTGCTAACTTACATCATCTATAGTGTAGATGTGATATTCGACCATCGATCAAAGGACATGTGTACTGCTCAGCAGTTCGCTCTCTTCTCCTTTATGTCTGTGGGACATGATCGTTAAAAGTGGAAGACACGAAAAGGCTAGCTGATTTTGACTACAGATGTTTGCGGTCTACTCTTAGTGTTAAGTGGTGTAATGTGGTGAGTATTATCGAGGTTAGGCGTAGAGTGCTAGGTAGGGGAGGAAGTCAATCGATAAGACTGTGAAGCTACATCGATCGAGACTGCTAAGACACGTGTTGCGCATGTCAAGCCAGTGTTATTGCCCTGGATATTCTTCACCTTGCATCCTTCTAGGTATACTCTTAGAGACTGTCGACTAGGCTGAGTGGTATTACTCTTTATGTTATTTACCTAGAGTTGACTATGCCTGATTTCTAATAAAAAAATATTCAAGTGTTGGTTTGTAGGGATTTGACTGGTTACAGGATTTTCATTATGAGCTGACATTAGTTAGAGAACCATTGGAAAACCTGCAAGGAGTACTGGACAGGTGTTTCGTCATCGTTTGGGACTCTTCAGCAGTACGCACCCACCAACAGGGTTCGAACCCAGGACCTTCTGGTTACAAGGCGAGCTAGTATACCATTAAGCCACTGGGACCCGATCCAATGGCCCATGAATTCTAACTTCTGCCAATTCACGACATAGCGCGACCCATAGCCAATGTCTTCGGCGAGTATTTGTCCTCACACCCGACCTGCTGCACTCTATATTCTTTTTATGTAACTTTTTGTTTTAGCTCCAATCAGCACCCATGGCTTCCTGAACTATTGAGTTGTATCATTATAACCTCTGAAGCATGTTTTGGCCATAATGATAAATCAAGCAGCATTTTGCTTAATAAAAAACATCCTTTCATGAGAACTGAAAGTAACAATAGTACAGTTGGAAATTTTATCAAAAATCGTCCTGTCATAACTTTGAAACCATTGATTAGTTTTCTTCGTTTCTGGAGAAATATGATATCTCAAAGGCATTGGAATGGTGGACATTGTACAGATTCATTATGGTGGGATACCGGATGTGAGAGAATGAGTACAGATTCAACATCGTTGAAAGGTAGGTGTATAATATTAGTCTCGTCCTGATATGGTAGACTATTTTCTTACTACTCTAATCTAATATCTAAAAGGTTTACACGGTATAAAGCTTCATAGATTGATATCATGTCTAACTCATAATACCCTTAATCATTTGTTTTTTAAAATTTTCTTTTACACTTAATTTAACTATATTCTTGAGTTATGCATAACCACGTTTTGTGTGTAGTCGTATTTTAACTATTAGAAAAGACTTATTTAATTGAATTTTAGATTTTCCCGTTGATTGATTGGACCGAAGTGCTCGGTCTCAGGTTGACATGTCGGCTTCTTGTGCAGATGCTTCGATGATGTCTGGGCATGTAATTAGAATTTAATTGGTGGATGGTGACTAGCAGTGGGGCACTGGGTTCGAGCCTCGGTGGGAACATCATCACTCACTGGGGAATGCAGGTACATCCAGTACTGACGAGTTCCATATAGGACGAAATGCGCATCCTGGATTCCACTGGTAGTCACCATCCACCAATTAAATTAGAAAAGACTGTTGTTTTGTTCCCTTTAGTAAAAGTGTTAAGTACACGTAATCAAAAAAGTTATGTTAGTTAAAGCAGTGAAGATAACTCTTGAAAAAGAAAGTTAGAATGCCCCTTAAAATTAAAAAAAAACAAAACAAACACGCATCAGTAGTGCACTCGTGCATCAGTGGTTCAGTGGTAGAATGCTGGCCAACTATGCACACCTGGTGTGGAGTTTGATACTGGACCGAGGCACTCACAAACCTCACCTAGCCGGTAGTAATCCGGGAAAACAGGGAAGGTTGGACGTGAGCCTGTGGTGAGAGCTGGCTGCTAGCCAAATTTGGTAGACAGTAATTGACGTCATTGTTTATGTCCCCAATATTGGTGGTGAGAAAATGAGAACAAAGGCTTTGCGTAGGCGGATACAGTTAGCATATGGATGATCTGACACAGCCACAAAGAGATGCAAGGCTAACTTTCTGTGAGAAACAACCAATCAAAAGACTGTGTCTTCAACTAACAATAATCTTCCGGTTACAAGGCAAGGTCCTGGGTTCGAATCCCAGTGGGTGCGTACTGCTGATGATTCCCAAACTAGGATGAAACAGCTGCCCAGTACTCCCTGGTTTTCAATGGTTCTCTAACTGATATCAGTCCGTGATCAACTCGTATAACAATAATCTACAATAATGTACATAATCTATAAAGTACATTCCTCAATAAACGATCTGTTGCCTGGCCCTTGTCTTCTGTTGTTACAAGCCTAGTAACGCCGCCACCCCTCAAAAAACAATATCACTGCTGCTGAAACTTCAATGTCTCAAGCCTTAAGCCCTATGTTCCAATCGGAATGCAAGGGACGATAAAAAAATAGTGTAGCCTGAAAAGAGATCTTCATCAAAAAAGTTTTACCTATCTTAAGTGGAACCTTAAACATCTAAATCCATTATGTTTGTTTAAATTCATTCAACTGCATTGTTCACTTTTTCTTTACGTTATGAATATATTCCAGTTGATTATTACTCTTTTTCAAAGTTAGTGTTTATGCAATTTACTTACTCGATCTAGGAAGGTCTCTTTTGTCAGAGGTTATAATGCTATCAATAAGCTATGGAAGAAGATGATGAAGAGAGTAGACAAACTTTGTAAATCCTCGTCAAAAGCCGTGACTTATTGCTTTAGACATGGATTTTTGGCTAGTGGATTTGAACAGTCAACCGTTACACTATATGTACGACTATTTTTCAAATACACAAATATACAGTTACTTACAGATGGATCTTGAAGAAATTAGTCTTTTCTGCTCATCATATGAGTGGAGCTGTGACTCTTTGGTCTAGGTGCTTGACTTCCAAACAATGGGTCACGGGTTCTTAAACTCCACTTCACGCACGGAGGTCTGAGTAGCCCTGGGTAGTATGGCAAGCCCTCACAGAATACGTGTGTGTGACTCATTGCCAACTGAAAGAAATTGCAAGGCATTGTTCTGTAACATATTTCCCACTCATCACATAAACAAATTCAACTATGACTACTAAACGGTACTGCTTATGTATATAATATTCATTTATGTGGTTTGTAGTACAAGTATTAGTGTGTGTCGGTGGTCCAGCCAACCACACACCTGGTCCAGGGTTCGATTCCTGCCCGGCGCACACCTTTATCTCCCTTTGCCGGTTGTAAGCCCGACAAACAGGGTGGGGTTAGGCTTGAGGCTAGCAACCCCACCCCGTAAAAATAAACACCATTGTTTCTGAGATTTCAAAGCTCTAGCCTGAAGCCCCTATGCTCCACTCACAACTCAAAAATAAAATAAATAAAAAAATAATTGCAAGTATCATAAGCTTTGCTGACTATCATTCTATGTTTTTTTCTCTCTAGTTATTATTCTTAATTATCTGCTTTTAGTTCGCTTAGTGTCCAACTGTGTTTGATCGTTGTAAAGACGAAAAGATATTCAATCTCTTGAACTGAGTAAAACATTATCTTCAATGGAGAACATCAAGTTTATTGTCATTCTTATTTTTTCAGCTGAAACTATTCCTCACCAATACAAGATATACGTTATGTTTAATTACCAATAGAGATATACGCTATTTTAAGATAAACTATATTTTTAAAACATCTTTTTTTCTTCTTCTAGATATTCGTCAACAGTATATAGAAAAATTATTTGGCTCATCTATACGATGTAGACTACTGGCAATATGTGTATGGATTTGTCAATTTTATGATCAATTCACCGCTACCATCAATTGTACTACTACAACTAGCACCACTGCCGATGAATTAAATGATACTGCAGAAATGCAAAGAATTGAACTTTTGAACGAGGTGAGTTTACTCCTTTCACACTTTTCATAACTGAGTATGTTGTTATGTACTACTGATTGATTGAAATGAGTAAGTAGAGGTGGATACCATTCATTATCAACCATTGATTGGTGCCTACCAGCCAGATCGAAATGATCTTAACACCGGACGGCTGTTCCGCTCGTTTGAGGTCGTGTTCATCAGTGAGTGGTGTATTAGATCTGACTCAACTCAAAGGAATGAATCAGTTCAAAAGACCCGATTTCTGGCTAGACTACTTGCCTGAACTGGTAATACGTTGAATCAAAATAGCACTCAGTAAATTAATTCGCTGTTGACGACTTACACAATTTGAGGAGGTGGAACTTCCCCACATTTTCCTTTGGAACCTGAAATTATTATTATTCGCATCACACTAAGTGATCTGTTTGGTACTATAAGTGGCAATAAAGGAAGCAAGCATCAGTGCATAAAACGATGTATACTACTGGCTGATTCATATGAGTAGCTGGATACTACTCACATCAACCACTAGTGCTGTCTAGCCAGATCAAGGTGGTCTAAACACCGGATGGGCGTTTCTGAAAATTGTGCAATAATTTGCACGATTAAAATTGTTCAATTAAAAATGTTTTATGTTGGTAATTCTTTGTTACTTGGTTGTCTTATTCTGTTTCTCATGGGTAGTTTTATAGCTGAAGTTACAGTTTTATTATTTGTTTAATTACTCATGCACGTGTTTCGTTTCAACATTTATTGTGATCAGATTGAAGAATAGCAGGGGCATGACCTTAGGCAATGAAAAGTTATTGGTTTTGCAGGGATTTAGTTTGAAGAAGATATTGCGAAATGGTCACGCTGTGTCGTGAATTGGCAGAAGTTAGAATTCATGGACTGGCCATTGGATCGGGTCCCAGTGGCTCAGTGATCTACGAGCTCGCCTTGTAACCAGAAGGTCCGGGGCTCGAACCCCAATGGGATGGGTGCGTACTGATGAAGAGTCCCAAACTAGGACGAAACAACTGTCCAGTACTCCCAGGTTTTCCAGTGGTTCTCTAACTGATGTCAGCTCATGATGAAATCCTCCATCCAATTAAAAGTTATGTTTTAATGTCATTGTGACTGTATATTGGCCTTTAGCGATGAAAGCAAAGTTAATTACATCATAGATTTTCCTATCAAGGGTTTAGTAAAATTTATTTTCATACTTAACATGTATGAGATATTACCTCTGATGGTAGAATATATGAGAAGATGAGCGTTTTTCGATCATAAGTGCTTTCATTCCATTTCTTGTGCTAGATGGAATGATACGGTAGAGTGTTAAGTATAAACAGAAGGTCAATCAGGTCAGTCTTATGAAGCTAGAACACATAAGTTGCGCATGCTGAGTCGTTTCTTTTCTCGATGAGCGGTGTTAGTTAGAGTAGGGTTAGATGACAAAAGAGTTAAGTAGTGGTTGGATCGGAATATAAAGCAGCACATTTGCTTTCTTTATAATCAATTCACTATTATCACTTTCACATGTTCCTTTTGTACGTTTTCTCACTCTCTTCTTACTTGTTAAATGGACACTCAAGTGCCCTTTTTTTCTCTCACTCAATAACAATTTTAACCTTATTGAATTTCTAACCCTTTCGTCCTTTGTGCCGTTGAGTATTACGTAATCTTTTAATTTTACTTTTGAAGCCACTTATAAGTAATTATATCAATTATGTCACCCCTCTATTACTCAATAATGGATTACTATACATTTTCGGTAAATATAAATACGTGAATTGGCAGAAGTTAGAATTCATGGGCCATTGGATCGAGTCCCAGTGGCTTAATGGTCTACGAGCTCGCCTTATAGCCAGAAGGTCCTGGGTTCGAACCCTATTGGGTGGGTGCGTACTGATGAAGAGTCCCAAACAGGCTGACAAACAGCTGCCCAGTACTCCCTGCAGGTTTTCCAATGTTTCTCTAACTAATGTCAGCTCATGATGAAATCCTCCAACCAATCAAATATAAATACGAATATACAGCCTCTGAAGATAATTTCGTCGATAAAAAAACTTTTTTCGCTGAATTGTCTTTTGATTTGTTCATGAAAGCAATATTAATTGGAAAAATTATTGAAAATCATGAAGCATTGAACAACTTGTTTAGTCATACCTCGATACTTTTCAAAGGTGGTAATTTAAACTTGATTTAGAAAGCACTTTGTAAATAAAAGGTCTTCAAGTGTATGTTAGCAGGGATTCGATTGGTTTAAAGACTAGTCAGTAATTGACTTCAGTTAGAGAAGCATTAAAAGCCAGGGAGTACTAGACAAATGTGTCGTCCTAGTTTTGGACTCTTCATCAGCACGGACGCACCTACGATAGAACTCAGGAACTCTGATTTTTAATGGTTCTTTAACTGAAGTTCGTCGTCAAACTTGGAATGAAGGATCATTAAATAATGGTACGCTTATCTTGAAAAGTGATAGCTCACTTTCGTCGTATTGCACTACTAGATGATAGCAGTTCATCGTAATTGAGTCTGTGTTGAAATCCAGTAATTGCTGTGTCATTTATCCAAGTCAACAACACTATTCATCGGAACTTGTTACTATTGTTTCACTTACGCAACCGAAATTTCATTGTACTAAAGTTTTACTATGTGGACTTAAGCATGAAAATGCGATTGTACAACTTTTGAGGATGAAATCGCCGAAAAAGAGATCTTTGCTGAGTTTCTTGTTCTTTTCTCACCAATATCTCCTAATGGGTATTTCCCACAATTTATTCAAGTTTATCAAAGGAAAAAATGTCTATTTGTTTGCATACAGATCACATTTTTCAGAACGTTTAGCTAATCCTTCTGTTTGGAGATAAGTTTCTGTACATAGAGACTATTGATTTCATGTGCTTATTAGTCGAGTAACAACGAGTTACATTCACTATGCTTCTTGTCTATCTGATATACTGTAAGGCTGTTAATAATTTCTACGTATTTTTTGTTTATGCAATACCACATTGTCTCACCTTCATCTCCACTTTTTTTAAAAAGTTTTCTGGAATGGTCGCTGTGCTAGCTCAACGTGATGATGTAGTGTGGCCTGATAGTTGTTGCTGTAAAGCTAAAGTAAGTAAACAGTGTATCATTTTTTGTGTGTGTAAGTGTTTGCATTCCGTTAACAGAATTGACTGATAAAAAAATTGTAGTACACATAAGACAGATCATTATTATTATTCCCTTGGGTTCCCAGTGGAACATAGGGCTTCAACAACACATCTCCACTTTCTTCTATTTTCTGCTGTCCTCTTTAGCTGGCTCCACGATTGCCCATAATCTCTCATCTCCTCCTCCTCGCACGATCTCCTCCATGTCACCCTCGCACCGATACCTACTAGTCGCTTCTCATTGGCATTCCATTCGAGCAATGGCCTGCATTGCGCACGATATCGATCGACAATCTCCTCAACGTATGCCCGACCCATCTCCATTTTCTCCTACATATTTGTTGGGCGATAGGCCCTTCGTTAGTTTGTCGCCAGCCAGAGTTTCTTCTTGCTAATTCTTTCTCGCTGACTGGCCATTTGATCTTCAGTATGGAGCCAGCGAAGGTGGCAGCTGTTGATAAAAGTTTGCAACCTGTTGGTTCAGAAGATATACAGAATGTGTGGTTATTTTTCCCATCCCTTTGTGTTCTGAGTGAACACAGGGCTTCAAGCTTTAGTCTTTGAAGTTTCAGGAGCATTGATGTTGCTATTATTTATGGGTTAGGGTTGCCGTCCCTCTTTTCCCCGGCTTGCCCACTGTTTAGGTGGATTTTAGGAGTGTGTCGGGCGGAAACTAAACCTTGATCACTTGTGTGGCTGGCTAGCATTCTACCCATGAACCATAGGTACACTTGTGGTTATCTGGTCTATCTCATTTAATTAGTATGGTAATTATCTAACATTGATTGTTAATGACTGGGGTTTTATTGGTCGTTTACCATATACTTGCACAATATCGAGTCTAACGATAGATAAAACGTCTTGTAGTTAGAACTGCTTTAAAATAATCGAGGGATAATGGAGATTTTTGCCTTTTAAAACTGGTTACCCTTACATTTTATTGCATCACACAAGAGTAGTTGTTTGTAGTACATGTTATTGTGCCGTATCGTTTATCTATTTGGTTAATTTTTATCCAAGTGGTTGAGAGATGATTGTATTTCTTCCAAAGTAGGCTACATATCGGGTTCATATTTGCATTTCTGTTGGTTGAAGTCTCGTTTTTCCATAGCGGGTTACTATAAATCCTAATGCTGCGTTTCGGTTCGTTACTGTCTGCATTTGTTGTGATCAGACATGCAGTGTTGTGTTATTGTTACTACTAATATAAGTGTTGGTGGATCACTTGGGCGATTCGACTATCGGACTGGCCAACATAGTACCGTGGGTAATCTTTACAGTTGACTCTGTAAATATTCTATATGAATCTTAACATATCAATGTTTAAAAAGTATTCTAAATATTCGTGCACCTTAAAAATAGTTATCATTTCTTAATAAAGCTAGTGCTGATAATGTTATCGAACCATCCATGTTTAATTGGTAAATTCAGAGTAGTTTAATTAAAATTGACTGAAGATCAAAATCGATATAAAGACTTGTCTCGTGACTGGATTCTAACAAGCGTCCTGTAGATTCTTTTGTCTAGTTTCAATCATGTCACGATACGAATTTTAGTCTTTTTTTAAATCCTCATCCTTTAAATTACAATTATGTTTTAAAACACTAACTTGGTACATCATGGGCACCAAGAGAGAGAGAGATGCATCACACATAGTTTGTGCGAGCGCTGATGTATTAGTTGGACGCCCAAACTGAGTCAGGTAGTTGTCTTAAGGGACTACTCTCCGAGTCTTTGACTTGAAGTCTGTTCCACACAGCAGTGAACAACGTCAGGAGCTAAGCTCTCATGGACGCTGGTGACCGTAACAGGTTCACACGCGATTTGATCCTTTCGGATTCTTGAGCTGTGCTGTACACCATAGGTTTGGAATCAGGGTTTTTCTGCTCCCCTAGGTAGACCTGAGTGTCCACCAGTCCGGTTGCAAGCACCAGACGTTTGCATTCACCCATTCATTTTTATGAGGAACACGGCCGTCGTTGTGTGAAGGCAGTGAATAGGATTTACGTGGCAGCAGAGGCTATGAAGTGTGGCCATATGAAAGCATTTCGAAAGCTGCTACTCATCCTCCGTTGTGTATGGTGCCTCATCCTTTAAAACTATTTTAATGTATCAAACTAAAGAGTTACTTCGGATAATCTAGTCGCTTTGGCGTTTGAAACGATGGGTACTGGGTTTGAGGTTTGAACAGAGAGGGTGGAGGGAAACAATATCATTCATAGTGATGTGGGTACATCCAGCTGACAAGCCCCATATAGTACGAAACACGCGTCCTGGATCCCATTGCTAGCTAACTACCCTCAACCAAGTAACCAAACAAAAATTATTTCAAATCATTTCTATTTTTGTTTTTTTCTGACTTATTATTGTCTATAGGTCTATTCAACACTAGTTCATTTGTCTGATTCACCCCTGAAATCATTGATGACAATACCTACAAGTGTTTTAACTGATCCATTTTATTATCCACAACTACAACAACAACAGCTTGAGAATGCCTCCTTGTCATCAGCTGACTTACTGTTCAAACAAAAAACCTCTTTAATTGCCTTTGGACAATTAACACGTGCTTTAATCGGACTGCTTTGGCGACATGGTGATCAAAATTTCCAATCATATACAGACTGTTTACCAGATTATTTTTGTCTAATAACAAATTTAACACGATGGATTCAGCTATCTAAACAAAGAGAAAGAGGTGGTCGTTTTGAGACAACTTTCTTACCTTATCAACACAATGATATGATACTAAGACCTGAGTTAATTGAAGAATTATATGATTTTGAATCAGGTGTAGAGAATTTCCCCTATCATCAGACGGGTTAATTCACCACAACTGTACGCCAACGTGTGTATATAGAGAAGTTATGTACATTTTGTAAATACGTTTTCTTTTCTTTCTTTTTTTCTTATTAGAAAAACTTGTTTTTGCCTGATTTATCGAAATCCTCTCTCCTTTTTTTAAAAAATATTTCTTGTAAATAAGATGGAAAAGTTAAACGTTCCTTACTGTTAGTTTCTTTTAAATTTTATTTTTTTGAGAAGATATTATCATTATTTATATTAATATTATTCTGCGAATAAATTTAGAGTTACTCTTGATTTTATTGATTCTTTTGTGTCTATGTGTGTGTGTTTGTGTATGTATGTGAATATGTTCGCATGCGCGTGTGTTTGATTTTAATGCATTCAAACGATTGGGTTGTTCTTTATACCGACTGTCATAGCCGCTGAAGTCAGTTCGTGGTCAAGCCTGGAATCAATCAAATTCCTGCTAACCAACTTTTGAAAATTGATCTAGTGCTCACTAGTAGTGTGACTGACTGACTGCAGGATGAAGTTGTCTGAAGTTTTTGGTGAGAAGTCACGACCTCAGAGAAGAGGTTCACCAAGTTAGGTGTGTGGACAGATATTCACACAGATGACATTGGCTGGTGGTGACGCTATATATATATATATATATATTCCGTTCCAGTGACGGAACAGCGAACGAGTTCGTTTTATCAGTTGAAACTCCTGGGTTTGATCCCCGGTGGTAGTCGAGTCCATGGGTGAGAGTAGTTTAAAAGTCTCGAACAACGACTTGATAGCTATTCATTACTCCCTGGTTTTCAACCATCCCTTAAATGAAATCAATTCGTGATCAAACTTAGAGTAAACTTAAAGTTACTCTAGTGTATGTATTTCTGTTTGACCTGAATACATGCGTGCTGTCGATGTTTCATCTCCTGTTAAACCTCATTAGGAGTTTTTAGTTTCCTGTTCTCATCTACTAAACTGGAAGTCTGGAAGTTTGTTTTAGTTAATGTTGATTTTTATAAAGTTTATAATTGCAATTATTATTGGTAATTAGGAAAGTTTGTGATCATGGTGAGAATAATGGTCGTTACTTATTATGGTGAATTACTAACAAGAAAATATTATGTATCATACAATAAATGAATGTGACTCACGAATTTCCAAGAGTTAGATCTTGTTGGAATTTGATTGGCTTCAGGTTTGTTCACTGATTGATATAAAAGATAGATCCCTGGTGGTGTAATTGGTAAGTACTACTATTGAAGAGTCCAAAATAAGGACGAAACAGCTCTTCATTACTTCCTACTGGTTTCATATGGTTCTCTAACTAACGTCAATCCGTGATCAAACTTGAAATTCCCGAATCGGTCCTATTAACCAAGTTGTAGGTACGCAGGAAATCTATGCACATGAAGTATATTTTCTTGGTTTTTGAAAACAAATCAGCCCAAGATACACAAAAGAAACCGTTTTTGCAAACACTATTGAATGAATGGGCTTAACTGTCCTATAATCAATACTTAATCACTGTACTTAGCAGCGATAGGTAAATTCTAGTTAATAACGTTGACTACCCATTCATTCACGCATATGCGATTTTTAAACTGAAGTAACATCATCAATAGCATTTTCAGCTGTGGTCATGTCACATGCATAATTCCTACATTTTTAGACTATGATAACTATGTGTAAAAACCAACCTAATCATTAGGCATAATGTATAAACGTAACCGTTTCATATCAAAACTAGAGATTAATGCCGCCTGTAAAATCAACTACAGGTATTGTAAATACCAATGAAAGTAACTGGTATGTTGCTGCTATGTTATTCAAAATACATAGGATTATAAGTGGGTGGCACACTGTTAGGATCTCGCCGACCATGCACATGGTCCGGGGTTCGACCCCCTGCCGACGCACACCTGATATCTATGGTGGCTGCAAATTGGTAAACTAGCATTCGGATGCATTTATTCTAATGTATGTGAATAGCTTACTTTCAGTCATGATTACCACTGCATTGGGCAGATCAGTGATTATTTTTTGAGAATGTTCGTACTACAATCGTGTGTAAAGTAAAGTATTGAAGCGTGTGAATAATTCCTTTGGCTCTCTCTCTCTCTCTCTCTCTCTATATATATATATATGAGATAGTAAGGTAGGCGATGCTGACAGACATGGTAGAGAAAATTTACTTACCACTCACATGATCGTGTTAACGGTCATTTATGGAACCTTGGTTTCATTTTATCACCATACCATGCTTTGTATGACATCGTACAAGCTGTATAGATTTATACGTATTAATTATTAATTTTAAGTAGGCGTTTGATACATTGTTAGGGTATTTTTATCTGAGATATAATCAACTGTTGGCTTTTAGTTGCTTTGTTATCATCTTAGGTACCTGTCTCATTGATCAATTTAAAACTACAATGTTAGTAGTTTTATGAAGGAAGTGATTAGGCTAGAAATGGATTGACTGACAGTAAACGACATGTAGCTAAGTCACTTAAAAGGCATTGGATGATGAGTGAACCAGTATTTGAACGTATTTCTTCTAATGTATGTGAATGACCTTGCAACATGCCGTTTACTTTTAGTTAGTTGTGGAAACCGTCTCATGTGATCTCTAGCATTGTTTTAAATCTTTATAGTCCTTCATACAGTCAGTCAGACAGTAGTTACTGGATAGCTTGAACATTCATTATAGATTCGGTTGTAAAGCATAAATAATTAAAAAAAAGCCAGACTGAGCAGGACTTTTTCTTTGCTGATTTCAGATGTGCAACTTTTCATATTTCCGTTTTGTTATATGCTACTAAGATTTTTGAAAAGGAATATTCATCACCTATTTAGTGATAATATCACTTGACCTAACTCCCTATTTTTGCTCATCATATAGAAATAATGACTGTGGAGAAACGCCATATTGCACTTACTTTCTATGATATGGGTGTTGTGAAATTTGGGAAATATAAACTTAAATCTGGTGTAATTTCACCTATCTATGTGGATCTACGAGTTCTTATTTCATCTCCGAAGTTTATGGTAAGTTAGATTTTCTCTTTTTGAAATTGTCCTTATCCTATAGCAGTTTTGGTAATAGTTAGGGCAATTATTGCAAATTAAATTTGAGACACATGTATTTAAACCTTCTTCTCCTCCCGATTTAAATCAGTTTGCTGCATATCTTCTATTTTCTGATTCGGTTTATCTTTTAATCTCATCTAGATGGTTAACTTTTATGTTTCGTAGGGATTTTGATTGGTTTCAGTGCAGAATTTGAAAACCAAGAAACATTGGACTGGATGGTTATGTAGTCGTGGTCTGGGCCTCTTCAACAGTGCGCACCCACGACTCTACTAGATATCGAATCTGGAACCTTCAAGCTGCGAACTGAGTCCGTCGTTTCTTCAGTCATTGGGTTGATCGATTTGGTTTGCGATGAATGTTTGTGTTTATCGATAGGTAAAGGAGTTCAAAGGTTATTTCGACCTAATGACTACTGATTGACTGACTGACTGGTTTCAACGTAGAACTTTGCACCAGTGTTCAGGAGTTCGAGTTGCCACACTTCAAAGCAAGAGAAGAGAATAAAGAGGGATTCCAAAGAGGGAAAGATAATAAACAGAAATATGAAGCAAAAAGAATAGCAATATGGAAGATCAATATAGTTTTATTGGACATTATGAGTCACAAGGAGTGGATGCATCTGCGCCGGCCATTGAGAACGATTTTGAGCCATATCACCAATTGTCTTTAGCCGTCATTGGTTTTTAACATCCCGAGGACCCCAACCAGTCAGTCAGTCAGTCTACATCTCCCAGTGTGTCTGGCTTAAACTAGCTGTTGTGGATTTCATTGACTGATGAAGCAATGTTTTAGTTCGAACACCACTAGCTAACTCTTCCCAACCTGATCCATCTTATGTCAGCTAATATTTCCCATCAAGGAAGGCGATGGCTAGGCATGCGTAACACAAAACATGTCTTAACCATCTCAATCGATGTAACTTCACAACCTCGTCGATCGATTTCCCCTCCTTACCTAGCACTCGCTCGACTGAAGCCTAACGTCAATATTACTCATCCTACTGTACCACCTAATACAGGAGATAGAACGCAGACACCTGTGATCAAATACAGCTAGGTGGGCTCTTTATTTCTTCCATTTTCGATGGCCACGTCTCACTCATAGACTAAGAGGAGGATGGAGTGTACTGCTGAGCAGTACACACGCCATTTGGTCGACAGTCAGATATCACATTTACTAAGAGAGAGAGATGGCGTAAGTTGGCATATGCTAAACGAGCTTTTTGTATCCGTACTGAGATTTCGTCTGGGATCATCATGTTGGGGCTGATGCAACTTCCCAAATAAGGGAAGTGGTCAACACGCTCCACCAAACACTTCACTCCCTATTTCTAAACTAGGAGTCAATGTAATCCAGTCCTGTAGCATCATCTTACATTTGGCGGGAGCGAATCACATGCCGAAAATTCACAGACTGCAGCTCAAGGTGTTCAGAAGACTCTGCATTTTGTCAGCGTCTTCACCTAGAAGGACCATATCACCTACATATTCTGAGTCAACGAGATTATTCCCTGGCAAAAAGTCAATCCCTGAGTCGTTGAAGTTAGGGTTAATTCCATTAGTACATCTATGATGCAATTAAACAGAAATGGGACAGTGGACATCCCTGGCGGACACCGCTCGTTATCACAACTTCAAATGACAACTCTCCGTAGGCTACATGAGTTCGTGTAGAGTGCCTTGATCAGTGCAATGTATTTTCTTGGCATTCTTTTCACAGCCAAACATCGCCATAGTACCTCTTGGTTGACGGAATTGAATGCCACCAGTAGGTATGCCTATGTTCCAAAATCGGTCGAAGGGTGAAGATATAATCGATACGTCCTCTTCCTGGTCTAAAGCTTGCCTGGTTCTCACGTTTTTTCCTCCTGAGAACCAATTAGTCTATCCATGATTATTGGGCCTGGAACTTTAGATACCCTTTTGGTCAAT